ACTACGTCGTACCCTCATAAACTTTGTAGGTATATAGTTTTTGTACTTACGTGTAATCGCACAGCTCATCAATGACATAATCCTCGACCAATGTGTCATTTGATTTGAGGCTCTCCCGACGAAGCTGTGTGCAAAGTTGCAATGCATCTGGACCCTCCTCCGGCCTAATGGTGGTATATATGCTAACCTTTATCAACCGCCCACTTGATGGCTACTCCACTCTAATTACGTTTTATTTACTGCTACTAGTCAATGTGATCAATGATATTTTTCTCAATTTAGAATTGTTGGATTAGATTAACGAGAAGGCGTGTGGTCTCCACGCAAAATTGTTCCACGCGCGTCGTGTGCCAGGACTACTAAATTGGTCAGCACTACAGTTTAATTTGGGTAAATGGTAGGTAGCTTACATGATCAATCTGATCGACCGATCGATCGAGATCAGCTTTTGACAACCAGGTTAATATTTAGCAATTTTGAGCCATAGTTATTTCATTGTTTTTTTCTAAAATTTGACAAGGAACTAAGTTGCCAAAATATTTTTTGGCTAGATTGAGGACTTGGAGTTACTATTAATAGAAAAGAAGAATATAGGAGGGTTGAATTGGTGGGACTTACAGCTTTATTACTAGTAATCATGCTTTGCTGGTTTATCTTAATTATATTTTTTTACATGTATCTTAATTAATCTTGGATTAGGGAGTATTCACTACTAGAGAACAAACCTTTTGACGTAGTACCCAAAATCACAAATACCTCGGTTAGATTAAAAACCAGTACTAAAAATGCTTTAGTACCGGTTATAAAAGTCCAAATCCCTAGAAACATCTTTAGTCCTAGTTGATATTACCAACTGGTATCTTTACTATCGGTTGGTAACACCAACATGGACTAAAGACCAGTAGTAAAGCCTCCAGGGTTAGTTCAAAAGTAAAACATCTCTTCAAGCTAGATGTGTGTAGTAGGTGAGTTGGTTACGCGTGTGAGGGCTGAGGTGAGAGATCTTGAGTTCGAATCCCATATCCCACATATTTATTTTCACTTGCTATGTATCGGTACTAAAGATTTTGAACTTGAGTCCCGATTTGCTCGTCTCGGTTGCTACAATTGGTAGTAAAGGAGTTGTAAACCGGGACTAAAAATCGTTTCCCCTATAGTGATTGAAAGCTTTGGCAGAGGGAGTTTTTAAACCCGCAAGCACTATATATAGAGTAGGTATCCGACACACACATATATGTATACTCATAAAAGAAAATATTATACACGGTACACCTAGCTAGGTGTATATACTCATCCTTTTCATATACTCCCTCCGTCCCAAAATATAATGAGTTTTGGTTGGATGGGGTATATCCTAGTACTACGAATCTAGACAAACTATCTATCCAGATTCATAGTACTAGGATTTGTCTCATCTAATTAAAACTACTTATATTTTGGGATAGAGGATGACGGAGCGTGGGGCTCCTCACCGGGAGACCGCGCAGGCCCCCCTTTGCCGGTTCGGCCGGGGGCGCTGAGTGAGGTTCTTCGCCCTCGATCTGAGGAAAGTCAGCGGGAGAGGAAGTGCACAAGACACGGGCGACGTAGACAGGTTCGGGCCGCTGAGAAGCGTAACACCCTACTCCTGTGTTCTGGTGGATCTGTGCTTGAAGGAATACAGAGAACCGGAGAGCGAGAGTGAGTTCAGGCTCTCGCCCCTCTTCCCCAGAGTCCCAACCCCCTTTCTCCTAGGCTTGGGCCTCCTTTTTATCTGGTCAGGGGTCACCACATGGGCCTCTAGTTGCCTAAGAAGGGAAACATGCTTTTTACAATGAGGGCTAGTCTACAGCCGGAAATGACCTCTGACAAGCAGAGCACACGCCTCCTGCCCCGCTCGCCCGCTTTCCCGGTGGACGCCCATTTCAACCTTCATTTAATGGCCAGCGACTTCCTTGCCATATTTGCGCTGAAGCCTGGAATGGATCTGACCGGGACTGACATACCAACTCCAGGAGTTAGCACGCCGGCTCCGGCTAGGGACGAGAGCCAGGAAGCTCTCATCATTCCGACGGGACGGGGCGAGGCGTGTGACAGGCCGCCTGTTGCCACCTAACCCGCGATCTGACCGGTCTGTGACCGGTCACACACCGCGACCGGTCACGGATCGGATAAGCGTGCGCTGCGCCGCATTAAATGCGACGTGGCGCGCTCGTCCAACCTGCTATAAATGCGGTTAGGTGAGCCCCGTTGTGCTCACCTAACCCACACACGTGGCGCCAAAACCACAGGGGGTCGGGGCGCCCCAGCCCTCGGGGCCGAAACGGGGGCGCCCCAGCCCTCGGGGCCGAAACGGGAGCGGCCCGACCCCTCGGGGAGACAGAGGGAGGGGTGGCCACGTCACCCTCGGGCCCGACCCCCCCGAGGGGGTCAGGCCACGTGGGTGACCGCGGCTACCCAAGTCTCTAGTCACGATACCCCCGGCCCCATGTCACCGACAGAGGAAGTACAAATTATACATTTACCCATGTGAGATATCAATTTGAACTTTAATCGGGGATTTTACTATTTACGCTAGATTCACATTGAGTTGGCTTGGTGCAAATCAACATTGAGAGGGACGAGTTTGCACAAATGAAATTTTAGGACTAAACCGACCCAAGAAACATGGCATTTGCATTTCTATCCCTGTTTTCAATAGCAAATTGTGTGACTTTATCTTTACTCTTTTAACCTTATGATTTTTTTCCCTTGTTGTATGTTTGCTAGTCTATCTATACTCCTTATAAAAGGGAGTAGCTAGCGGTGATGATTGTTCTGTCACCACCCGACCATCAATTCCCAACTTTCTTTTAGAGCGAAAATGGCATGTCGGTTAGAGGACCCACGTGTCAACCAACTCCCAACAATAGCCGATTGGAATAAGAACGTGGAGCACTACTACACATATTTTTTTTAAAAAACAAAAACTCTTACAAATAATAATTTCAACAATTTGATTAACATAGATGAGTGGATATCTAGTGATGTACCCACAGCATATATAACACATCAGTGTTATTAAAAGTTCAGTAAGAAAGTTTTAGTATGTATAGCCTTTTTCGTCAAGAACATAGAGCATATTTGGTCAGGTTTAATTCAATTTTAAGTTCGGACTTAACTATATATGTACTTAATTATATATGCTATGAACGTACGATGTCTCATCAGCTAGGACGCAAACATCCAAAAATTCAGAAACAGACACACAATTATTTCGGGGAAAGTAAAAGTATATATGCTCTGAAACAGTAAACCCATCTTGTTGAGGACAAAATCGAACTAAAAATACATAGAACAAATCAAGCTGTCCAACAAAATTTGGGGCCCCCTCGCTCGAGACAGAATCTCCTGGTGTTCATGGCGCATTCCCCAATCAGATGGCCCGATCGATTGGTAGAGATGCAATGCACCTAATAAGCACTTGGATTCCGAGTGTACAGGGCCATCAGCAACTGGATACCAATTTATTTATATATGGTTTAGCTGCAAATGATTCTAGGACACTTGCCATAAAACACTAGTTTTATTGCTCAACTTGTGGCAAACTTGTGTGCTGCTGGGGCTGAGTGCATATGCAAGTGTTCATCCTAGTTGGCATGATCTCATCAAGCTTAGCTCGTGGTGGTGATTAATTATATCTAGTGCCTAATTACACTTCAGGCTTTCCTAGTTGATCTTGCAAAGCAGTAGTATATACTATATGTGGGAAAATTAAAGTTGTTCCCATGGTTTCGACCTTCTTTTGAACCAAGATAGCGTGTAACTTTTTGTTTCTCGTTGCTTGATTGAGAAATTATAATTTGACGACGCATGATAGAGAGCGTGAATTACGTTGTCACACGGATCATCAGTCCACTGACAGCCCAGTTAATTAATTACGTACCGGTACGGTCCCTGTTTTCAACCGGCCGTCGATCGCTCGTTCCTGCCCTGTTCCAAGTCAAGTGGCCACAATTGTTGACGACTTGAGTTAATTTGATAATGTGCATTAAATTATGTAGATCAAGTGCTTAATTATGCAGGGCTTTTGCTCCCATTCTTCGACAGTAACAGGCCAGTTACTGCTGGTTTTAGAGCACGTCTAACTCTGTTAATTTTATACTGATGAAAGCCCAACCTGCTTATTGGTTAATGATTGGTTAATCGATATGTTAATTGAACGAGGTAAAATGAAGCACTAAAAGGAGAAGAAAGACATGTTTAGATGTGAACTAGGAGGAAAACAGAGGGGAATTCAGAAGGACAAAAGAGGACTTGAGGCTCAATAAAGCTTTTCGCAAGTGGGCTGAGAATGTAGGGCCCAGTGAGGCCCAAATAGACTAATTGCGCAACAATATAGCCCACTTGAAAATTAGCCCAGATATATAGCACAAAATGTTGATGGCCCAGAAGTTTATTACTCTATGTTGGGCTTATTCTGTAACCGGGCCTAATAACTCCATATTCGGCCTATTTGACTATTTCTCTAACCGGGGGCCCATTTCGCAAGCCCATTTTCTGATTCATGTTCTGATTCTATGTTCTGATTCTATTCCGACATTGTTGCTGCATGATAGCGTGTTCTTTGACCTACTTATGCAAGTAACCAAAATCATAATGGTCAGAAGATGCTCTCGATCTGCTAGATATGTTACGTACTACCACTAGCTGGATGATCATATATACTGTCAAATTAAAGCTAGCTATCGGCGGTGATGAGATGATGAGAAAATCGAAGTAAGAGAATTATACCAAAACCCCAGGTGATGAAACGCATATAGGCTTACCTCGTAATGCAAGTAACTTGAGACAGGGCATGCCTCCTTTGCCTCACAATCAAACAACTAATTTAACCACTGTTTAATGCTTCTTCTGCTAACTCTCCTCTCATCAACAGAATCATCTGACCATCTTTATATCACGTTGGGCCCCATGCTTCTCTAATCACTCGATCTCTCCCAGATGCTTTATGCAAAGCCTATATAAACTTTGTGTTGTCCCAAACCATTCGCCCGATTTGATCCACATCACCACTTTGGTTCCTCCCATTTTTCATTTCAAAGTGATACTAATAAGCAAGTGCAAGGATAGCTAGCTTGACAGTGTGGAAGTAGTAGTAGGAGCAAGAGGCAAATTAAGGGGAAGCTGCAGGTGGTAGATGCGTAATGCGAGCGGCAGCAGCTGCTGCTCTCGGGTGGCGGCGCCGTTGCATGCGCAAGTGCTTGGCTCGCCGTCTCCTTCTCATGGCTACGGCGGCGCCGGCGACGGCTGTCTTCTGCAGGCACCTCCCCCGGCAGTCGTCTGCGGGGAGATGCTGGCACTGACGACGCCGGCGCCGCCGTCTCTTCTCCATGCACTGGCCTCCCTCAACGTCCTCCTCCTCGTCGCCTACCTCCTCCTCTTCCTCCTCGCCAAGCTCGCCGCCGGCCTTCACCGCCGGTGAGTGAGTGACAGAGCTAGCTTCAGTTCAGAGAGATCTTTGTGCCATTAATTGCATGGACGTGTCACATTTTTACTGTGCGTATGTATGTAGAGGCCATGGTAGCTGTGACGAGCACCAGGTCACGGAGACCTCCGGGAGGGAGGAGTTCGCCGGCGCCGACGACATCGCCGGAGTGCAGCAGCAGCAAGCGGAGATGCTGTTCTGGTTCGACGAGGCCGTGTTCGAGGACACTGCTCTGCTTGGTGGCGAAGGAAAGGATCAGCTCATGTACGACGCTGCCACCACACCACCTACACCTACACCTGCACGTTGCTTGCAGGTGGAGAGCACCTTTCCCATGGTGGAATCCACCCGACGAATCTCGCCGCACCATCGCCAGTGCAGCTTCAGCCATGAGGAGCCCAAGGCCGCCGCCGCCGCCGCCGCCGCCACTGCGTCGAGCCAGAAGGATATCATTCCGGCCGCCGTGCCATCACCGGAGAACGTTCCCGTCGAAGGTATAACCATTAATTCCACTAACCTCTATTACTTCTTGTTAACCATGCATTTCATCCTGGTTCTGACACTCGTCGTACGTGGTTGCAGCCGGGGAAGAGGACGGCCATGGCGAACACGGAGAAGAAGACGATGAGGAGGAGAAGAGGTTTAGGGGAGATGACGTGAAGCTGTTCGTGAACAGCCGGGCGCTCGCCGACACGAAGAAGCTGCTTCTGGAGGGCGCCATGGCCGGGAAAGGAGGAGTGCAGCGCGAGCGCGAGGAGGAGAGCAGGTTGGGCGCGTCGACGCTGACGAGCGAGTCGACGTCGAAGAGCTCGGTGGAGTGGCGGAGCTCGACGGTGACCAAGGACTCGGAGACGGAGTACCCCTTCTCGTCGTCGTCTCGCCGGAGCTCGTCGCGGTGGGAGTCGTACGCTCTCTTCCGCAAGTACGACGAGGACATGGTCTACTTCCATCGCGTCGGCGCCCAGAAGCTCACCGAGACAGGTACATACTAATTATTCTTCCAAAATCAAGTCATCATTACCACTCATTACCCAAGCTAGATTAATTAAACCTTTCTCGAGAAACATAAACCTCAATCAAACGACGCAATTCCAGCTCCCTGCAACTCTTTCTCTACACACAATGGGGCTCACACAACAAAAAATATTTACAGAAAGTTTACTGATCAGTTGCGTTTGCTGGAACGGTTAATTTGCAGAGTCGTACAGGTCGATAAAGTATCAGCCGCGATCGGTGTCGGAGCGGATCGTGCAGAAGCTGACGCCGAAGCCGCGGCCGGCGATCGGGCTGAGGGACCCGTACCCGGAGCTGGAGCGGGTGTACGTGGCGCAGATCTGCCTCACCTGGGAGGCGCTCAACTGGAACTACGCCAGCTTCCGCCGCCACGCCGGCGACATCGCGGCGAGGTGCTGCCCGGCGCGCGTCGCGCAGGAGTTCCAGCAATTCCAAGTTCTTCTTCACCGGTTCATCGAGAACGAGCCCTACGAGTACGGACTCCGCCCGGAGGTGTACGCCCGGATGAAGAACTCATCCCCCAAGCTTCTCCTCGTCCCAGAGTTCAGAGGTAACTAACTAATTTCTCTGATGGAATTGACCAAACTTTATTGTTTTGTTAGCTGATTTAGAGTAGCTGAGAATTGAGTAGTGCGTTGTTAATTTTTGAAAATATTGCAGATGAGGAGGACGAGAAGGACGATCTGATATCGGCGGTGCAGTTCTTGTACATACTGGAGGAGTCGATCAGAACGTTCATGGCGTTCCTGCGTGCAGACAAGAGGAGCCACTACCAAATGTTCAGAGAAATGGTGAAGAGGAGGACCAGCTCCATGGATCAGACTCTGGTCATCACCCTCAAGAAGGCCAACAAGAAAGTGAGCCACATAAATAAACATCACACACAATGCTGATCAGATTTTCTTTCATCATCATCATTAATTCCACTTTCTTCTCATTGCCTGAAAATGAAATCTTCAGAAGAAGAGCCGGCTCAAGGACCTGACGAGGCCAAGACGGTGTCTGAGGAGGACGAAGCTGAGGGAAGAAGAGGAGATGTCAATACTGCTGGGCTTAATCGACCTCAAGATCGTGGCCAGAGTGCTGCGAATGCCGGAGATCACCGATCAGCAGCTGCACTGGTGCGAGGAGAAGATGAACAGGGTCAAAGTCGACCCGGCTCAGGGCAAGATGCAGAGGGACCCGTCTCCTCTTTTCTTCCCTGCACATTGACAGCAGCATCAGCAGCTGTAACTAGCTAGTCCCTGCTTGTAATCTACTACTTTTTTCTTGCCCATCTCCTCTTCAAATCTTCCTTTGTTGATATAGTGAGAAAAAGATAAAGTTGCATAGACGACATGAGAATATGCATGGCACGCAGCTAGCCTGATCTAGTTCTGTAAAAAGAGAGTCAGAGATCGATGAAGAGATCGTGTAAAGGCAATATATGTGTACTTATGTATTTATACATAGTAGATAAATAAGAGACCCACATCAATCTTGTAGTTGGGTGCATGTGATGTGGTGGGGGTGAGATACTATAAATTTGATCGTTGCATGCATGATGGATTTTGGAATCTAGACGCTTCATGTCATTATGTATATAAATCCGTGTGAGTGTATGTGACACAATCTGTGTGTGCATGGAATGGAAAGCAAAAGAGGTGAGGTGGTGAGGATGGAGACAAGCACAGCTTTGACAATGCTTTATCTTTTTCATGTGTTCTTCTCTCTCTGCTTTATAGGCTCTCCTCCTTGGATCACAAGATGATGATAGCAACAAATGTCACACTAGATTTGCCTCAACATTTTAGGATAACCACATCATCCTCCTTTTCCTTTTTATTTTATCTTTTGTTTTTTTTCCTTTGTGGATGTTGGCACTCTTATGTTATGTCATCAGGGAAAGCAGCCTCTCCTCTGCATAACAAAAGGAAACAGAAGATTAAAGAGGTGTTCTACAAGTTCCTGACTTCTCTGTATCCAACTAAATAAAATCATCCATGAGCTTTGTGTTGTGCTGACCTGCATTTAGATATGTTTGGTGCTGCATAAACAAACCAAAGATTACGCCGAAGTGATCATTTATATCCCTTTTTTACATTGGATAAGCTCTTGACGTCGATTGCTACGTGCAGAGTCGAGTACAGAGATGGTCCATGGTGCTCTTGCTTTTGGCAAAGAAAAGATTAGCAGAGTCAGAAAGTGGCTGGCCACTGTAAACAGGTCAAAAAGAGTGGGGGAAAAGATTTCCCACTGACAAAATTTGGTTACCAAGAACAAAGTGAACAACCTCAACAAAATCAAAACGAACACGTTGATGATGCAGTTTTATTTTGGTTTGGGCTGAGTTGTTTCAAAATAGGCGGGGCCTCTTGGCTAATGTAAGATAATATATATAGAAGTTGTTGGCCTTTGGCAATCAAAGCCCACAAATTTCACAAGCCAGTACCGCAGGCCGAAATAAGTTCACTTCAACTCCCTTAACTGGGGGCCAAATCTAATTCGTACCTCTGAACCACAATACCAGATATCTCGATCCCCAACAATTAAAAAAAATTCAATTTGACTCCCTCAACAATTTTGGAGAGCGGTTTTGCTAGTGTAACCCTTTGACTTGGTCAACTTTGTGCTGATGTGGCAACCTAGTCACACAATACAAGTGAGGCCCACTTGTAAGTGACTAGGAAAAAAATTAAAAACATGGGGACCACTTGTCAACCCCTTTCTCCCCTCTATTTCTCCGAACACTCCACGCTCGGCGATGTGCTGCGGCGTTGGCGCGACTTCTCCCCATCCCTCGCAGCGGCGAGCGGTAGGGAAATGTAACGCTCCGCTTTTTGCGTGACGTTAAAAACTAATTCGGCAAAATCCTATATGCAAAAATTTCGTTCTTTGAGTGAGAGTCTAAGTCGTGCCATGGATCTCAATTCAATCTCCATCGTTGTTCCCTCTCATCACCATCAAAATCCTCCACCTCAAGTTTCCAATCCCGATTCAAGTTTCCGAAATCAAATCCTGAAATTCAATCGCCTCCTTTGAATCCTCGCCAAATACTTGTCCCGATTCCACAAATATCCGAGTCCACCTTGAATCCATTCCTTGACTCCTCCCTGTTTCCCTGAGTCCAAGTAATCAAATTCGAAATTCAATTCCAAATCCAAATCCCTTCCAAATCATCTCTCTGCAAAAGTCTATTTTGCCTCCCCCTTGGTCGTTGGGCCGATTCTTCCTTCCTTGGCCGATCTCCTCCCTCAGCCTCGCACGTGCGTTGCACGCGCCGAGCCGAGCCGAGAGAGAGCTCTCTCGCTCTCTCGTTCTCTCTCTCTCTCGATGCTTTCTCTCTCTCACGCGCCGACGTCGATTTCCCGCCGGCATCGCTCAAACCTCCACCGCCTTCGCTCGTTCCCGCGCGCGCTCCCGCCGTGGTGGCCGACCGCCCTCGGTCACCGTCCGCCCTGGCCCGCCTGCGCCGCGCAGCCGCCCGTGCCCACTCTGCCGCTGCCCCCACCTCTGCGCCGCAGCGCGCGTGTGTCCAAGACGCGGAGGCAGCGCCTCTCTCTCCCACGCGCTCTCTCCTCCCTCAGCTCGCCCAAAATCGGCAAGGAGCCGAGCTCCTTTCTCCCTCCCCCTTTTTGCTTTTTCCCCGACCGGCGCCACCGTCACCTCCTTTGCCACCCGTGACCGCCTCTGTCACAGCTTGACCGCGAATCCGCCACCGCCTCTCCTTGATCGCCCGTGCTCGGTTCCTTCCCCTCGAAGCTCCACATCCCGCGCCTATAAAACCACAGCCGAGCCCCTCCCCTCCATCTCTCTCGTTTTCGCCCCCCACCGCGCCATTGCAGCCGAACAACCGTCGCCGCCCTGTTGCCGCTCGACTCGATCTCGTCGTCGCCGTCCGCCGCCGAGCACCGGAGGAACCGGTGCGTGCGTGGGCGCGTGACGAGGAGCTACGGGCGCCACCTCTCCTCTATTCCTCCCCGGCCGCGCCCACTCGGTGCCGCGCCGTCCCACCGTCGCGACCACCTCGCCACGACTCTCTCCGATCCACCGACGCCGCTTCCTCTTGTCGGTGAGCTCCCCGCCGAACCCTTTCCTCTTACCGCTCGCTATGCCGCGCCCGCCGCTGCACGCCATAGCCTGCCGCACGATGCGCCGCGCGCCTCGCCGTTGCTCTGTTTCCGCCGCTGCGCGCAGTCGCGCGCCGTCGTCGGGCCCCAGCTCGTCGACCACCCTCGCCAACACCGTCCTTGAGCTCCCTAGGACCTCCCCAAACCATTCCCTAGCACCGCCGTCGCCCGGCATGGCCTCACCGCCATTACCGTCCGCTCCCGGAGGCCGCTGCTCGTCGCCGGCCCTCCTCAGTGCTTCTCCGCCCCATCCGACACCGGAAACAGATTCCTTGAACCCCGGAGATGCTCCCACCCCTTTGAATCGAATCCTCGTCGTCTCGTTGTGTTTTCCCCTTTTTGCTCGCCGGTGATTGCCGCCGCCGCAATCGACCGCCGTCGGCACCTCTCGCGCCGATTCCTCTCGCCGCCACGCTCCCGGAGATCCCCTTGAGCTCCCCCTGACTGTCCCTAGGCCGCCGGCCTTCTCCTTTGCCTCCGCGCCGTGTCGCCCCTTCCGCCGCCGCATAACGCCACCGCGCGTGCGTCGCCGGTGACCATCAGGTCCCGCGTCACCGCGTGCGCGTCGCAACCCCATACCGGTTCGGCTAAGCCCGAGCCCGCGTGCCCTTCGCTCTTCTCGCGTGCGGCCACGTCGGCGTGCCGGCGAGATTGGCCGCCGCCGCCGGCCGTCGTCGCGCGTCGTCTTCCCGATCTGAGCCGTGGAATGAGTTCCCCTTCTCCTCCTCCTGCCGCCAGTGCTAGCCGCCCCTCTGGCTTGCCGCCGTTCGCCGGATCCCGCCGTGAGCCGTCCGATGAGCCGCCCGGCCTCCTCTCCCTTCCCCATCCGACGTGACGTCCACGTTGGCGCCACCTCAGCCGTCGGCCCCGCTTGACCAAGTCAGCCGACGCCCAGTCAGCAGCCGCCCCCTCTCTCTTGCTCTTGGGCTTGGCCCAGTAGCCACCCTCCTCCTCGGCCTGATAAGTAAGACAAACAAAGTCCATATACACTCCCTTCGTCCAAGCCCAGTGTCCATCACCCAAGAGCTAAAAGTCCACAATTACTCCCTCCAATTGCTCCTCTCTCTCTCTCACCTTCTTGTTGGCCCCACGTGTCAATGAGTCAAAGATATTCTTGGGAATATCTTTTTCAATACTCCACACATATTTCTCTTTTCTAGAAATTCAATAAATCATTTCCTATATTCCAAATTCCATAAACCCATCCTCTTAATCCGGAGATTCCAATAATTCGTCCCCTCGAGCCTGTATGTCAGTGGATGTCAATAATATTCTTGAGAATATTATTTCTATAAATTCCATAAACCATTTCTCGTATTCCAGAAAATTCCGACAAATCGTCTCCTTGTCCAGAAAAATTCATTTAAACTTCCAAAATTCATATCCCTCGATCCGTTCGTCCGATTGCCTCCGTTCCACTTCCAGTAATTCCATTGAATTGTGATCTATCTAATGGCACTATTAATTAGCCTAAATAGGACATTTTATTTGGTCTTTGCTTAGGTTTTTGATTGTTTGCGCCTAGTTGCGGTTATCGGATATTTTTCTTCAAGCGGATTTCTCGAAGATTTGTGAAGCTTCGTGAAGACCCTGAGCAAGGCAAGCCACCTTTGAACATATTGAGCCTATATTTGAACTTAATTATATTGCTTGCAAAATATTATGCATTGATAGGATTGCACTTAATCTGTTTGCCCCGTCTGCAAGGCAGACCGGTGGGCCTACCTAACTTGTTGCATCTGATCCTTCTATTGTTAATTGTTATATCATGTTCCCTTGTAACCATCTAGTTGCGCCTCGATAATTCGTGCACTCTATGCGAGTATCGACGGTCGCCTTCAAACTTAAAATTTGAGTAACTTCTTGGGTAACACTTGGTTTACAAAATCTTTGGAAAACCCGACGCCTGGGTCGGTGCCTTGTGAAAGAAAATGAGTTTTAAAAATGAAACTCGCGACACAAGGCCATTCCTGGGTGGAATACTTGTGCGGTCGCATTTAAGGACCGATTCCTTCGGAATTACATCCGAGAATACAACAGTGCGACCACATGGGTGTAATGGGACGCCCCTGGCTGAGTAATTAGCTAATTAGGGGAACCATGATGCCAAGAGACATGTGGATTCAACGGGGTGGTGTCGGGGAGAACCCTCGGGCTTCCTGGCACAGTATGGTCTGGGACCTAACCTGTTGTTGGTCTGGGACCCCTCTCATTGGCATATGGCAACCCTGTGTCGGCTTTGGAAACACCTTATCGTGAAAGCCTCAAAGTCGCCAGACGTGGCTGTTCTGCACGGGCTAGGTGACCCAGGTTAGTAATGTCGTGTGGGTAAAGTGTACCCCCTCTGCAGAGGTTATTAAACTATTCGAACAGCCGTGCCCACGGTCATGGGCGGATGTGAGGTGATTCCTTAG